AGAGGAACTAAGCAATTTCTCAGTACTAGTATGTTGTGACACTTTGTCTGATTTTGTAAGCAAATAGTTTTAAGTGAATTGAAACATAGGGGTGTAAAAGACAAATGAGACACCCAAAAGTGGTGCAATAGTCTAGGATGGTCAAGAGCAATTGGTCTAGAGCTACAATAATGACTTTTATAGCTAGTCTGTGGGGCATAGCCAAGGAAAAGAAATGTCTATGGCCCCACAATCCCTGACTTCTGGAATGACAACAGGTGAAAACTACAGCTGGGGCTACTCTACTTTGTAGTGAGGCGCAGACTAAGGAGAGCCTAAGATGCACTTTGACCAACCAGGACTTATTCAAAACCAGTTTGTTTTGTCTACAGTAGAGTTTAAATCAAGTTAGTTAAAATGTATTAGCCAACAGATTTTAAAAATACAACTTAGGATTTATCTTCACAAGAGATTTTTAATTTTATAGCCTTATTTTGTTTTTCTTTCAACATTCTGTAGAGTTCATACCCACATACCTCCCTGCCCCAACATGGTAGAAATAGAGTAGTTAGTGAGGGTTACCATATTCACAGTCCATTGGGGTCAATTTCATGGTCATAGGATTTAAATCCTAAATGTCATGATTTCTTCTATTTAAATCTGAAATTGCACAGTGTTGTAACTGACCGAAAAAGGAGTTGGGGGAGGGGGAGGAGATAGCAAGGTTATTATTGGGGGAGGGGATGTGGCAGTGCTACCTTTACTACTGCTGGTGGCAATGCTGTCTTCAGAGCTGGTTGGCTGATGAACGGTTGAAGAACGCCTAGCTTTGAAGGAGGAGCTGCTGCCAGCAGCTGTTCAGAAGTAAGGATGGCATGTATAGTACTGCCACCCTTAGTTCTGAGCTGCTGCCTACAGATCTGGGACATTAGTCAACAGCCGCCATGCTCTGGCCACCTAGCTCTGAAAACAGTATTGCAGAAGTAAGGTTGGCGCGGTGTGATATTGCCACATATACTGCTGTGCTGCTGCTGGCAGGATCTGCCTTTCAGAGCTGGGCACCTGACCAACAGCTTCTGCTCTCCAGCCTCTTGGGATGTAAAACCATGTTTAATTGGTTAACCTGTTAAATGTAATGTTTAACCAGTTAACTGATGAAAGGGGGATGGGTACCCATACCCGCACCCTTTTCTCCCTGCAGGCAGGGGTTGCTCTGGCTGGGCTAACCATTTACACCCCTACTGGCCACCCAGTTCTGAGGATAGCACAGAAGTATAAGTGGCAATACATGCCCTCCCCTGAAAAAAAATAACCTTGCAAGTTCATTTTGGGTCAGGACCCCCAATCTGAGAAATACTGATTGCCCCATAAACTCTGTATAGTAGAGTGTAAAGCACACAAAAGCTCTGATTTTATGGGGAGAGACCAGATTTCATTGACTGAGGTGCTTTTCACGGCTGTGAATGTGGTCGGCCCTAGGCCTGGCTTAGGTGAATAGAGTACAGACACACCTCCAGGAGTGGGTATGTACCCAAATACAGAACTTCCATGATTCCCCACTTGCCAAAGCTGTGCCGCCTCACTACGCTGCTAGGTTTGCCTGGGGAGTGTCCAGCAGCCTCCCTGCTGCTAGAGCTTTCCCCACTGCGGGGAAGGGCTCTGACAGGGAAAAGGCAACATGAAAAAGCCTTTGCTGCTCTGGCATGGGAGAGACAACAGAGAAAAACATCAGCAGTTCAGAGTGGTGCCTGTCTCTGACGTGTAGCCACACTCCACAGAGTGGGTGCCGAAGGCTTTTCACTCAGCATGTAGCTACATATACCCTATAAGCATATACATATACCCTACCAATGCTTTGTAGTGCACACAGTGTTACTTGAAGTCATGAATATTTTTGTAAAGGCTAGTCTGCAATGTAAAATCCCATATATTTGCTTAACTGGTTAAACCTATTATTTAAATCAAGGGTGGGGAACCTAAGGTCCGGAGGTTGGATGCAGCCCCCTGCCTTGTCTTGATCTAACCCCCAAGGCTGAAGGCTCTCCCCTTAGCATTGGGGAGCATGTGCTTGTGTTCCATCTTCCCCATTACCTCCCCATGAGGCTGAAGCACACACAATTTATTAGCCTGGGCTCCCCTAGATCTGGGATGCTAGGGGAATGAAGGGAGTCTTTTTCCTTCTCAGTTTGGGACCTTATCAGTAAGGGGGTGGATTTTTTTTTTTTTTTGCGCTTCTCACTTGTATGTGGACTCCAACTGAATTTTCTGTAGGTCAGTGGCCCCCGACACCAAAAAAGGTTCCTCACTCCTTGTTTAAATGGGTAACTGATGAAAGGTGGGGTAGGTGGTGGAGTTGCAAGCTGAAGCAGCCGCCCTCACCCCCCACCCCCCACCGCAGGGCTGGAGCAGCTCCTCTGTTGCAGGCAGGTCCCTACCTGCAGGGTGCCTGGGCCCACCATGGACACCAGAGCAGCCCCTGCTTGCAGGGTGCCCAGGCCTGCCATAAGGAGCCCCTGTCTGTGGGGCATCAGGGCCCACCGTAGACAGATGCTGCTCTGGGCGCCCAAGTAGCCCCTTTTTGTGGCACCCCCCCGTGGGGCTGTGGAGAGGGGTGGAATGGCCGCCCTCGGAGCCGGAAGCAGAAGAAACCCTCTGGGAGCCATTTTGGGGCCAGCCTAGCTCCGCCCCCTCACCTGACCGGAAGTCAAAGGGCGGGGCTAGGACTATAAGAAGGCTGCCTGGGAGCTCAGTCAGAGGCCAGCCTCCGAGGGAGCCAGAGGCCTGGCTGGAGCTCCTGCCTGGGGAGGCTAAGACCCGGGGTAGGCCGCCCTCAGCCACCTTCCCAGAGGCGGGCCAGAGACTCCCTGCCCCGGCTACTAAGGCCTGGCCCGGCCCGTCAGCTGAACCACTCGCGGACCCAGAGGACGGGACCGCACCGCTGGACCAGCTGGACCCCTGGTGGGTACGGGAACGCATATTTCCCAAAAGTTTGTTCCCCAGGCTAATATCTGTAACAAATGTTTATGAAGTATCTAGACTGGATTTAAAAAGGTGTTGCTACTTCAAGTTAATTAGCAATCACTTAAAAGTAAAAACAAAAAAAATCTGCTAATGTGGATAGACCCCTAGTGGTCATCAGGAGTCAGAACCCAGGCTTGAGGGAGAAAAGAGGTAATGTAAAACCATACCGTGCCGCATGATGTACTAAACACAACCTGGACAAAACTCAGCACTTGAACCAATTGATTTTAAACCACAAACCCCCCACATTTCTCTAGCTTTAAAGATCTGACAAAATTCCATAAACAAAGGAATTCTCAGTTAAAGCTAAAACTTTTTCCATTGTACTGTGGATAAAGACTTCTGTTATCAAAGGGTCTCAACTCAAATTGTATATTCATATTCCAAGTCTCTAAGGACATTTTTTTTTTGCAAACTCAAAATGTAATTTGGGTAGTTGTACAGACAGTTGCTATAGGTGTACACTCATCACAGATCCTGGACAGAAAGATGATAGTTGCACATTTAAAACCTGTAGGCACACAAGTGCTGGATGTAAATCAATGGCTCAATGTGGAAATTCTTGTCTGCACACATGAGAAGTCTAACTGATTCTAAAGGGAGTAATATAGCATATGCATTAGAAAGCTCACAGTATATGTAAAATCATCCAGTAGCTCAATTACGTGTATCTAATTATTGCAATATCAAAATAGATTCATTTATTTAAAAGTAAACATAGGTTCACATTGTCAGGTTAGGCATAAACTGCAGGGCAATGTTGTTTGAGGCGGTTAGACTGGAAATATGTAGCTCTGAGTGAAGGGCAGGATTTCAGCTAAAAATCCTTGTTTCTGCACGGTGAAATCAAATCCTTCTGGAAAACTCCATCAATCATTATTTACTGCAGTGACACTAAAAGGCACTTCTAGAATATCATTATCCTGGTGTGGTTTGCAACACTGACAAACAATTTCCTTACAAAAACTCTGCCCATAATATTTACAATAGCTTGTCACTTTCTGCTGAGACCCAGAGTATTTTATGGTACATTATTAAATGTTACTTCATGATCTTTTGTCCTCCTTAAATCAACACTTGTGTCAGAATATTTTATAGTTAGAATACAGTAGTTGAATAAACTGGTTAAAGCGATAGCATTTGCCACAATTATGTTGTTGATTATTTTATGAACAAACAATTAGCTGTTTATGATGTAGATTTGTACCGCTTAATTTAAAATTATTTTTAAAGCAAAAATAATTACCTTGATTTCCTTTGTGCTGAATTACAAAAGAAAGCCTATATTTTTCATGAACATGTATTTCAGGGAACAAACAAATCATCACACAAAAGTTGGCACATTTTCCTTTTACTCCCTGGTGCTTTGGGGCATGATTATCTAGTGATGATATAAACCACCAATGCCTTGGCTGTAACACTCCACTGTGTCTAGTTGTAAACTTTAAATAACATTTTCTATTCTGTGCAACTAACACCAAAACACAGTTCCCAATACAAAACAAGAACTTATTCAGGATGGGGCATATACTCAAAAGCATGCTGTGAAGCATTCCTGATACCGAACAGACAGCTTCTGCCATTTCCTTTCAGTGACTGGGACTGGAAAATACTTTCCAACTCAAGCCTTTTCAGCAGTGATCAAATGCACATAATTGTATGGCTCCTTAGGAGAAGGCAGGTCGGGGTATGTGTGTAAACATCAGAGACACTGCCCTGGCTTCTGGACTGTTAGGCTTTGTCAGTTTAGGCTGTCTTCAGCGAGCACGTTAGCTCTGGGATTTTATATAAGGACAAACCAGCATTTGTCCCGAAGTCCTGTCACCGAAGTGCTCTCCGGTTTACATTTCGCCTCCCCTCTCCCAGCCAGTGTTCCCTGACTCCCCCGGCTCTGGGGCAGTAGCAGTCTGTGCAGATAGGATGCGAACCTTGCCAGGCCTTCCAGTAACCTTCCCAGAAAGAACGAAAAGTTGGGGATAAGGAGAGATTAAAATACTCACCGAACAAAAGGAGGAAGTTTAGATAATCTCAGTTCTTGAGCTCAGACGAGGATGGGAAGCTTTCCAGCCTCCCAGGGCTCTAAGGTGCACAGGAGCCCTGCAACTTGCCAGAAGTGCATGCAGATACAGATAGGCAGGCACTGGAGTGCAGAGTGCAGCAGGAGAGGAGAAGGGGCGCGCTGAAGCTGGGATGGGACTGGGTGCAACGGGTTTGGGACTGGGCACAGGGGCTGCAGGACTGGGGTGCATCGAGGACTGGCTGGGGGGACCGGGGAGCCAGGGGCTGGGGCAGGATCTGGAGGACCGGGCACGCTGGGAATGGTGGATCGGGATGCACAGGGGATGGGACAGGTCCGCGGGGACTAGGATGCACAAGGGCTGGAGTGTACAGGCGTTGGGACAGGACCTGGAGGGCCGGGGTGCACAGGGGATGGAGTCGGAGGGTTGGTGTGACGACTCGCACCTGAGTGTGCAGGGGATGGGGATGGAGGGCCAGGGTGCCCAGGGGATGGGGATGGGGAACCGGGGTGCCCAGGGGATGGGGAACCGGGGTGCCCAGGG